GTGGTCACTGATTTAAGACCAGCTTTACGGTACCCGCCATTTCTTCCTCAGTGACAAATAATGGTTTTCCAAAAGATAAAATATGAAGACGGTTTTGTTGATGATCCCTAAATATCATTGAGGGGTTTGCATTACACTGACCAACTGTTTTTCTTTAATAGTTTTCATCAGACCTAGCAATAGTTATACGTCAGTCTTTTAGGATTCCTCAACATTCATTACTGGATGCCTATACTCTTGAAAGTGAATTATTTGGGGGTGTTTCTCAAGCAGTTTGATTGAGAATGGAACATTTCTAGTGTCCTAGTGAGTCAATGGTTAAGTCCTCTATATATGCCAATTCTTTTAATTTCTTTCATTGCCAAATATTTTTGACAAATGCAATCCACTGTGTATGATTGTTCTGACTCTCCGGCAGCATAGAACTGAACAAGGCTTATTTATATGTTACAGGTGATATATGCAAGTGAAAAACAATTTTCTATGGCTTTAGTCACCCGAACCTCAAGCTGATGGTCAATATGTAGAGATTATCTAACCCAAAGGCGGTCAGCACCCAAGGGACACCTGAGCCCAAGGAATGTTATCCCTAAGTTGTAACAATGAACAAGATGAGACAAACGAAACTGGCATCTTCCAGCCGAACCTGGCCAAGAGAAAAGAAGTGGGCAAGAAAAGAGCCCAGAGCCCCAATGTTAGACGTGGCCTGCGCAAAAAGATCCAGAAATGTCTTCAGGGCCCCGAGGAGCATGACCTTCAGCACCCCAATCCAGAGGTGGAGGAAGACATGTTTGCCTGTGAAATAAATCAGGAATCGTCTAGCCATGAATGTGGTCTTACCTCTCTGCCAAATGCTAAAACTGATATTAAAGTGGACAGGAAACACCTCATTGAGGAAGCTGAGTTGAACAGAGAAGGTGCTGTCAGGATTCTGGGCCAAGTGCACACCAACACCCCTCTGTCTGACTACAGAGACTGTGTAGACAAAAGAGCTAAGATGGAAGAGATGAGAAGATCTGCGAACGAAGAGGAAGGAGGAGGCAAAAGCAAGGAAAAAAGTTCCAGCACCATAGTAGAACACATTTTAAAAGAGCTTCAGGGGATTAATAAAATTCAAGAGGAGATCTCAGACTTGAGGCAGTACTTGACATCGGTGAGTGGCTCCGTTGATGAAGTTTCCTGCTGTGTGGATGCTGTGCTGATGGAAATCGAGGAGCTTTATTCAGCTGGTGCCATTGGTCACCCCTCACCTCGAAGACTAATGACTCATCACAGGAGCTTAGGCAAACAGAAATTGATGGTGGCCACCCAGAAGAACAAAAGTCCTATGAAGAAGCCTGCGAAGTCCGAAAGGAATGGAACCCCGTTTTATCCTGATGCACCAAGAAAATCCAAATTGCATGATCCTGAGGTTTCAGATCACTCAGATGAATCATCTAGCAGGGTACCTCCTTCCAACTACCCCAGTCATGACAGGCTTTATGCCCAGGACTTCCCAAGTACGAGTTCTTTATCCTCATGTCACAGCTCCAAGAGTAGAGGCCAGGATTGTAGTTACCTTTTAAGGGAGGCAGACCTACAAAGGGATGGCTGGGGTACATCAGGCATGCCTTTAAGCATGAGTGGAGAGGGAGGGTGGAGTGGAGACACTGGATGGAGTGAAGAGGATTACTGTTCTTGCCAGAATAGTGCAGATGAGGTGGAAGATGTCACACAACCTGATACCTGGTGTAGGTACAATGGTGGAGAGACTAGCACTCCAGGCCACTCTTCCCGAAGCAGTTCTGAGCACCTATCCTTATTGTTTGGACACCAATACAACTCCCAGTCCAGCTTGTCTAGTGTGGCAGACTGGAGGCTTTCCAGGAAACAAGCAGTGCCTGATACAGATTGTGATTGCACACCAAATTGCCCATATTCCCGGAGTTCAGGGTACCATACCATGGATGCATATGCTGATGAGCTGTGTAGCGGTCCATCCAGAAGCCTTAGTTGTTCCACTATGGGACTGACGGACTATGACGATGGCTGCCAAGAAATGCACTCTTCTTGCGAGCACTGCCTTTGTGTCGGGCATGTTGACGTGGATTCTGCAGATAGCACAGAAAAAGAGTGGTCTGAGAGAATTTGCGTAAGCATGCCTGATGTACAGTGTGATCCAGATTTCTCTGAGAACACTGATACAGATGGTTCCCAGCCACCCAATGTCGGGATTGATGTTGTAAAGATTAGTAAGGCCATGCTCACTTTTCGATCTGCTCTTCGTGGAGCTCTGCAGAGGCTTGAGGTGGCCGATCCTCAAGATCAAGATGAGAATCTGTCGGATATAGCCTCTAGTCCTGACAAACTTTCAAATGATCTTTTGGAAGTTGAATCAACTGTGGATGGATCTGATTCGGATCGTTTCATGCCATCAAGCTGTGAAACCTTGGATCAAAGTTTATCACCTGAAAAGAGAGACAGTGCCTGTTTTCATGGAGAATATGACCTTAATGACCTAAAATTACACATGGACCAACCAGGTGACTCCCAGTTGTTTGATCTTCAGGGATCAACTTCTGGTACTGCGTCTCCCTCTTGTACTCCAACGGAATACTACTCAATGGACCATTCAGTCAGTGCAGAAGAACGTTTAACCGAACTAGAGGTTTCCCATGCAGACAGCTCTCCTGACCTCAGCTCAGAGAAAGTAGACCCCAGTTCAGGAACAGTGGAGAGTTGTCATGAAGAGCCGCTTCAAGCAGAAACACCTCACGTTGCGTGTGAAGGCATTGAGCCAAGATCACTGGGCACAGTCCTTGAAGCAGAGGTTGAGGTAAATCAGGCAGAGGCTCAGGTAGACCTAGACAATGACAACTCTGAACAACTAGACCCTCACCACCAGAAGTGCCTTGCCAATATCCAACGTGTTCTCAAGGAACAGAGACAAAGATATAAGCTGTCTAGGATTTCTAGTGGATCAAAGCATACTTTTTCTGAGGAGGAATTCAATCCAGGTATAATTTGCATGGTTGTGTGATTTATATGTTTAAAAGGTAGAACTTAGAAAATCTTTCTAACAAAACTCTTACTCAAAATAAGGCTTGTTTCTCTTGTTTTAAAATTGTTTACATGTGCTAATGCATGATCTTTGCACTTAACATGCCTGTTTTATTTTAACCTGTTTTACAGAGGAAAGCAGAGAAGATGAGCAGGTCAATTTAAAACTTTTTGGTCTATTTTTTTCTTTTACTGAAGTTGTGTTCTTGACTTACGTCTTGTACTGTTTTCAAATGCTCATAACTAAAGGCATGCTCTACAACATTGCATGTGAGGAGAACAGAATTTACAGTTTACAGTTGTTGTGTGAAATCAGCCTGTTATTTTTAAGCAAGATTTCTGTGTTTATTACTTAAATAAATTAGGAATGTATCATTATCATAAAATATTCAGCTTCAGATGTCTTTGTGTTGTGTTTGTTGTTGACTCTAACAGTTCTTTAATCTAGCTCAGTCCCATGGTTATTATTTTTTTTTATCCATTTGAAACATCAGCCCTTGCAGTCTTGCAGCATGGTTGCCTCATATGAGTGCTTCAAAGCATTCAGAGCTCTACAGTGGCACACCCTTTGGGCCTCCAGCTATCCTGCTTTACCTCCATTTATCTGCTCCATTTGTCTAAGGCTGAATGTTCAAGGCATTGGTCAGATGGTATACCTTGAAGGAAAAAGTAGAGGCACATCTCTTAAATGTGTACCAGAGTTTTTGTGTTTTTCCCCCATATTGTTGTTGATGCACAAGTAGTCTGTTTGATATTTGGTTGAGATCTAGAGTGTAAACAGTGGTAAACTTAGGAGCAAAGCATAAGAAATTTGAAATGTGTACATAACATAGTTGTCTGCCATATCGTTTTTTTTTTCCTCAAATATTTGAGATTTTAGGAGTCTAATTATTGGTAATGTGTATTTGTGAATGCAGTGTTAAAATGTTCTTTCATTGTGTGGCCCTTATTCATAAAAGTAGCATGCAGATAAATTGTAAAAAGAACGCATGCACATTTCACTGAAAGTTCTGCTATATATCTGTTTCACTTGGTGTTTATATATGGTCAAAGTCATGTCTGGAAGTGTTAATTTGAGCGTAAAAAATTTAAAATTCTTGATTTGCAGTCAACTATTCAAAATTATCATTAAAAGTTATCATCAATAATATCAGTTACAAAATAACAATTATAATACTTATAACTTCACATGGCAATGCGTATAATGAAAAGAATGTAAGACTGATATAAACAAATGCTACAACTATTATTGTTCCATTTCAAGACATATTGCACTTTTTCCTTTCAGTCTCCTGAATGTTTTCATTTTTTTTGGCTCACTATTCAAAATATCTGCATAAATTAGGTTGTGCTTTATGCAAATTCTTGTATATGACGAAAATTGGGGGGTGTCCTTTGCAAAAAATATGGAAATAAGATACATGAGCACTCATTTCAGTGCGCTGAAGCTGATTCAGTTGTGCTTAAATCACCCGTTTCAATGTCGTACTGTAGTTTCATTAATCAGATGTGGAGTGTTTCATACGTCATTCAGGGTGGTCAAATCTGCAAACTATGATGAATAAGGACCATTGTGTGTAAACTTCATAGAGCAAATAGTGGGAAGCAGAAGCAGCTACTTCAAAACCTGGACCGAAAAGTTTGGATTAGGTGTAACCCCTATACTGGGCTTCAGTTTTTCAGTTCGTGTGCATGTTTGTAGAAGTTGCATGTTCTATATGTTTATAACCTCTACAGTTGTAAGGAAAATTTTTGTCCCTGTGTTATTTTTGTTCAAAAGTCCTTTAACTTTTGACTGCTTCATGAAAGTGGTGAGACTCAACCAATCGTGTCTGTCATTTATCTTAGCTCTTGTTACGTTTGCGCTTTTTAAATTGTCTGATTGAAGTATTTTTGCTCTCTCTCTTGTCTTGTACAAGGACACAGTAACAATCAGAAATGTTTTTTTTTGACTGAAACAGGGTCGGCAGAGTGGAGAGAATTCCAGACATGCCTGGATTAAAGCAGGGTGAGTTCTTCCAACTTGATCAACACTTTAATGTGTCGTTATATATTCTTTATAGGGACATTGCTTGGAAACGTTTCTATTCGCATCCTGCAGCAGTGCAGCAGTAGCCTAGTAGTGATATTTTTCAGCTTAAAAACTGAAGATGATGTGTCTTGAAGGTGGGAGGAACTGTTGCAAGTGCTTCAAGGTGGATTTTTGAGGGCGGGGTTTGTTATATATATATATATATATATGTGTGTGTGTGTGTGTGTGTGTGTGTGTGTGAGTTTTTCCTTGTCCTGTAAACTTAACTTTTTGGAGAAAAGGTTTTGTTCCAACAGCAGCAATTTGTACACACACACACACACACACACACACACACACACACACACACACAAAACAGCTCTGGTCAAATGAAAATTTCTCAAAGTGAAAATGTATAACGTAAAATGTGATGAATGTGGTAAAAAGTTATGCCGTATATTATTTTTATATTTTATTTGTTTTATTTTTTTAGACAATTAACAAAACATATCATTTGATGTATGTCTATGCATGTAAATATATGTGTATGTATATGTATGCGTGTGTGTGTAAAGCTCTGACCCACACCGGCCATTTGTGGTCAGGATCAATCTGTTGATTGTGAAGAGTTTATGATGAGCATGTTGTGTGAGTGTAACTCTCTTAGAATCTGCACTGTTGTCCACAGAAGTGGGAGTGGCCTGTTCGGGATTGACAGCATGCCAGACTTACGAAAGAGGAAACCAATCCCACTCGTTAGTGATGTGGTAGGTGCTCTTCTGCGTTTCTCTGTCTAGGAACAGGGAACACAACAAACTTGTGTTTCTCAGTGTTGTTTCTTATATTAAAAAGTTTCAGACTTTGCACTGCTTCTGCTGCATTTGGGTGCTGTGTGATTGATTAGGATCTTGATTTCACGATCCCTTTTTTAAAGGTAAACTAATGATTTTTTTTATGATTTTATAATTTTATTATAAAATGATAATGGAATTATCCATTCCAATCGAAAAAAAATCTTAAAATTTTAGCTCAGACTCACTAACCAACATATATTGGTAACACTGTTTTACACTTTTTTAATTTCTATGTGTTAAATGGCTAAATGTTTAGTACAAACTCTGAAGTGCTGTGTAATCATTTGGGTAAAATGTTTTTAAGTAGCTGGGCAGTCTGACTGAATTAAACTGAATTTAACTGATGCCACTTACAATAATGTGACTTATTTAAGCAGGACTTTGAATCACAAAAATCACTGTGTACCAGGGAGTTAAATGTATTCTTAAAAAAACAGGTGGTTCTTTAAGGGCTCTTTAGTAAAGGAAAAGGTTCTATATAGAGCCATGAACACTCAAATAACGATCAGCATGTTTAAAGGGCTGTATGGTTGTGCTGTAGGATGTTTTTAAAAAGGGGTCTATATTACCCAAAAGAGTTCTGCTATTGTTATGATGTCAAGCTTGTAACAATAGCAGAACCCTTTTGGATGCTATTTTCAAAAAGGTTCTAAATAGAACCATCTACAACACATTCTCCATTAATGATGCAAAGAACCCTTTAATCAGGCAAGGCAATCTTTGAGTGTTCATGTTTTAATATAGAACCTTTTTCTTTACTAAAAAACTCAAGAAGAACTGTCTTTTTTAGAGTGTGCGATAAAAAGGCAGTACGAAGACACTTGAGGACATGAGTCTTATTTAGTATGTACCTGTCTGTTACTTATGAGCAACGCTGAATAAACAAATTATCTAAGTATATAGTTTTACTGAGTCTTTAACATTTTAGTTAGAGTTTGTTTGGACATTGTGTTAACATTCTTTGTATTTACCACATACGTAATCCAAATAATTTCTAATTCTGAGATGCTTTACTGTCCTTTTTCATTTTAATAGAACCTGTTTCATTGTAATTTCATTTTAATACTTGCTTCTTTTTACCCAAAATAATTAAACATCACTTTGGAGTCTGTGCCTCACATTTACCTAATTAATAGCTAGAACCTGCAGACCATTTCAGTGTAATTGAGACCTTAACATTTCAGTGTAAATGTAACACTGGATATAATTAGTTAGAAGTTTGGAGTTTGTTCCTCATATTTGCCCATTATTGTTTTGATTTTTGTTGTCAAATATTTTACATATAGGGTCAGTTTCCTGGACAGGGATTTTCTCTTGTGCTGGACTTTGCTTTCAGTGGAGAATTTCCATTCAGAATGTTTTGTAGTCCAGGAATAGACTAGGGAGTAAAATGGTTAAACAGTTAATAGTCATAGGTACTAATAATAACTCAGTTGTACACTGTTCTTTGTTTTTTGTTTTCTTTTTTTTTAAACAAATTCTGTGTGCATTTTGACAAGTTTAGGATGATTTAAGCCAGCTTAGATATTTACCAAAAAAAAAGCTTTTTATTGACAACAAGATAATTCATGTACAGTAGTGTGCAAAAGTCAAGGCACCGAAGAAAATACTATTTAAACAGCCATTTATCTGGACTGAACACAAACATTAGAATAAACACAAAGAACTGTAATACAATAAGTAGTGCATTTGAGTTAACTTGTTTATTTAACCCCTTTCTCCACCAGCCCACCATTATTTGCAGTTATCTACCAATTCCTGGTGTGGCTAATGAATGCTTCATTATGTTATACTGATGGAATTTAATAAAGCTATATGATGGCTGGAGGTAGGGCTGAATAATTTTGGGGAAAATATCTAATTGCATTTTTTCTGATTCATATTATAACTGCAGTTTAAAATGCAATTTCTTAATAAATGAAGATTCAGGCCTGATTTATTTTGGCCACAAAGACCAGAATATCCACCTTTTTTGGCTTGAGGCTTGACCCCTGAACAGTGTGCCAAACTGCCAGTAAGTTGTGGTATGATGTCCTAACACATGGTAGTTTGGTTGCCTCTGATTGGTCTAACTCATATACAGGCATTTCACAAACTCTTATTAGGTTCAATTTCCCCTCTGAAAACTTAAAACAATGTTTTTGCTAATGCCCACAGTTAAAAAAGATGGTTCTTTAAGGCTTCTTTAGTAAAGACAATGGTTGTGTATAGAACCATAAACACTCAACGACCCATTTGCATGCTTAAAAAGTTCTTTGCATGGTGAAATAGTTCTTTAAATTTATGGACAATGTGTTGTATATGGTTTTACATAACAACACCTTTTTAAAAAGGGTTCTATATATCAAAAATGTTCTTCTCCTGTTACAAGCTTGACATTGTAACAGTAGTTGAACCCTTTTTGGTGCTATACAGAACCATGTACAGCACATTCTCCATCAGACTGAAGAACGATGTCACCATGCTAAGAACTTTTTAAGCATGCAATTTGGTCTTTAAGTGTTCATGGCCCTATATAGAAGGACTGACTGTTTTTAGAGAAGAACAATCTTTTTAAGAACATTTTTAAGAGTGTAGGCTATAACAAGAAAATTTGCAGCTTCTGCATTTTGAAAATTGCACATAAATTGCGATTTCAGTATAAAAACAATTAATCTTTCAGCCCTAGCTGGAGGCGTCCAGAGGAAAATCTGGACTTTGTTCTTCAGACTAGCTTACAAGATACCAATTCACAAGATACTTTACTGAAAACATGACACTTATGCTACTTTATACTGTCTTTATGTTTATTTGTACGTATTTTAATGTTAGATAGAGATAACATTGGTGACATTGGCAAAAACAAAAAATGGTGCTAAGGTGCCCAAGACCTTTGCATAGTAGATGAGGCATATTTAACCCTCTAAATTGCAAAGTGAGTCCAGGCTTTCACTTGACACTGAAGAATAACTCCAGTCTTTGTTTATATTTTCATGTAGTTCCTGAATAATAAGCATTAGGATGTAATACATCTGGGAATTTAAGGAGTTAAAGTTCTCAGGGCAAGAGCTTATGGTGGCTCACCTGGTTGGCAAACGTTTTGGTGTAAAATCATGTGTTTCCTCTTTTCCCACATTGAAAAACATTTCAAATAAACCTCTATGCCTCTCCTTGAATGCATTCACTCAATGAATCAGGCTATGGTAAGTTTAATGAACCCTCTTTGCAGATATAGCAGCACTGGGTATTGTTTATGTTAAGTAGGAATGGACGATACTGAATTTGTGGAATTGGTATTGGTCCATTCCAGTAATGTGCAAATACTATTTCAAAACTTCTGCACACTTCTGTGAAGATTGGCTTCATCTTCTCTTCCTCGAAGTCAGTTTCAGTGAACCTGTTTGCAGCACATTACATGGTAGCACGTTGCTTACGTCTGCTCATGTATTTGCACAACTACTTAGCATAAAAAATACAGGAGTTTTTGTTTCCCCACCCGGACACTGGTTTGTTTTGGTTTGGTTTCACACCCTCCTGCTTTACATACTCCTATTAAGGTCATCACTTCCACAAGATAATATTACGCCTCCACAACAGGTGTTTTGATGGCTTTGTAGATTAGATTTTCTTGATAAGATGCCATATCTGCATCCTGTTTTACCAGATATTCAGGATCCCAAACATTGGTCTACCAGTGTTTTGGTTCCTTCCTCAACCCTCCATCCTTTTACTGTCTCTAACGTTTTGATTTCCCAGCACACCTGTTGCCTGGCGTAGTTTGAACCCCTGTTTTTTTACATGATTTTTTTTCTAGCAGTGAATTAATTTTAATTGTATTAGTTGAATCCTGCACCCTGTTGTAGCTATGTAATGAAGCAAAAAGTGTTATTTTAGTTTTTATTGGATTTTATTCTCATTTTTATTGTTTTACTGCTGTTGGGAATCTGTTGGGATTTTTTTTTTATCCTGCCATGGAATAATACCTGTTCTCTGTGGGACAGTCACTGGTCCAGGCCAGGAAAGCAGGCATCGCATCCGCCATGGCCTCACGCTCGTCCATCAAAGATGAGGAGCTGGTGAGTAAGAAACAAAGTCAAGGTCCCAAGACCTTACATAGTGTTAAAATAATAGGTTGACTAATTTAAATAGGAAAATGTAAAATATTACACTTAATTATAGCCAGTATTGCCATTATACAGCTACAGTATTGCTTGCAGTATATTAAGAACGTGCTGGTGAATCAGTAATATAGCATGGTTAAATATTAGCCTGCATTATTTTGACTAAATTAATTTACTTTTGTTGGGCTACTGAATACCTTAATTCATCAGAACACCCAGAGAAACTCATTTGGTGCTGTGATTGGTCAGTATAAAAAAAAATGTTTTTAAATTTGAACACAGAGCTCATTTTCATATTGAGTTCAAAACCCAGACATTTCAGACTTTTTGTTACTTTTTTTTTCTATAAAAATAAATGATTGAACATTCCATTTTGTCACTACCAAGACAATCAGAACACTACCGAAACATTACCAGATGTTTCAATAGTGACTGTTTCAGTAGTGACAATTTTAGCTCACTTTGAGCAGAAACCATAAACGCTAGTTAAGTATAAGACTAGCAAACATAGATTTGAACAGCTGTACACACGTAAAATTATATTTCATTAAAACTCTAAAAAGTTGCAATTCTTAATGTTCCATGCTGATTGTAGACTTGGGACACATTTGCTTCAAACCAGTGGAATCTAACTCACCATGTGGTCATGAGGGACAGGGATGCAGTCTCACTTCTTGCTTTAAAATGCAGAGGCATGGCTAAAATAAGGCTCTGCCAAGGGTTTAAAACTCTGTGTTTTGGTACTGACAGGAAAACCTGGGACAGCATTTTTTTATTTAAAAATAAAATTAACAATGAATCAAAATCAACTAACTTCACTCTATAAGAAATCAAAAATATTTTAAAAACATGAAAATGTAAGAATTATTTTCACAAGTGTAAATTTAGGGGTTTCAATAGAAAACACTCTAATATGATAATTTTGTACATAGCTTATTACTATCTCTATTGATGCTTAGGATTTAAATAGATCACAACATAATCCTTGTAAATACCTAAGGTTTTGCTGTATTTCTTGACATCACTTGGAACTGCTGTATTGCTGACCTATATGCCACTGTTCAAGAGTTAGTTATTGCTCTCTGGAAGTTTGGAGTCACTATTTGCATTAAATTAAAACCAGTATTGTTGAATATACATGTATACAATGATTTGGAAACTGCTGACATAATCCCAGGTACATAACTACACTATAAAGGACGAATTACAGTATATTATTTATAATCTAGAGGGCCCATATCTTGTAAAACCCTATTTTCCTTGTTTTTTCTGAATAAAAGAGTTTGATGTAGTATGCAGACATTGTTAAAGTTTCAAAACATATCATTCACTCCCAGTTCATACAGTCTGTATGTGTAAACTCTCAGCTTGTTTTGAATTTACTGTTCACGAAAACCAATATATTTACATATGTACACCAATTCAGGCTGCAGCAGTTTAGTGAACAGGCAGAGCTGTGAATGGGGAACAATACAGGACAGCTAATTAGACCAAATATATATATATATATATATGTATATATATATATATATATATATAGCAAGAGATAGATGTACATACATATAGATGACTGTATGAAAAATGAAAATAAAATGCAAGAAAAATATTGGATATGGACGCTTTAATAACTTTTTTTGCATTTTCACAAAAATCTATCTTGTCTATTTTATCACATTTTAATCTACACTGTACAAAATTTAACAAAACAACAATAATTAATATGACATGATTCCAAACTTTTATTTTCAGTAGTGTATATAAACCTTACCTAGACCTAAACCCTAAACCTTACACTCATTCTAACTCTAATCCCTGAACTATAGGGGGCTGTCCAAATAAAGTGAGACTGAATCTGTAACACAGTTCAGACCTTTCATCAAAGGGAACTTCTATTGATTTTTTTCACGTTTCATCTTAATTCTATGATTGAGATGTAAACAAAATCATTCAGAGTGGTTTGGTGTGAAATGGTTCATTGTGGAGAGACGTACAGACTCAGATTTCTTTACAGTGGTGGTGATAGGAATCAGGAGTCACCATGACTACAACACAAATATAGCCATTTACTATCCAAAACCACCAGTGAGTCTACACATGTCTTCTGAGTTTTTATTTGCAATGTTGGTGATGGTAAAACAGTAATATAATAAGTTTTCTTTGGTGACTATTTTGCCTCACAACACTCTGCATGTACGAGGGGTGTGAATCCCACCATGAAAAGATTTTAAAAGTATAGTTTAGACTAAAATGTTATGTAGAAATTTGGAAAAATCCATGGAATTCCCTTCCCTTTCCCTCTCCCTTCTCTCCTTTAATCTCTTCTACTTTCTCACCCCTGCAGAAGAGTCATGTATATAAGAAGACGCTGCAGGCTCTGATCTATCCCATCTCCTGCACCACACCCCATAACTTTGAAGTTTGGACGGCCACCACACCCACGTACTGCTACGAGTGTGAGGGGCTGCTGTGGGGCATTGCCCGGCAGGGCATGCGCTGCTCTGAGTGTGGGGTCAAATGTCACGAGAAGTGTCAGGAGCTGCTTAATGCGGACTGCCTGCAGCGTGAGTATGGGAAACGTGGACAGTTTTTGCCAGACTGTCGCTTTAAGGTAGCTTCAGCTTCAGTAGCTCATGGTCACAGGGTTGGCTTGCTTGTTCTCCTCACACATTCAAAACAACAGGAAGACACTGAAACGGGTCTTTCTTTAAACTTTCTCTAAAGCTTGTCCTTCAGAAACTCCCTCAGCCTGTTAAAGCTGGCCTACAATGTGCTTTAGATACCCATCGATTGCAGTGCATGTGTATACATTTCTAAGTGACACGCTAGCTGCTGCAGTGTCTGCTGACATGATTTATCCAAATGGGATCACATTGAGACCTGACTCCTTGAGCGACAGCTCCATTAGCTGCTCCAGAAATGATTTAAGGTGAATCTCCAAAAGCAGATGGCTGATTATTAGCGAAATGTTTTCCACAGGCTTGGATATTTGCAGGATTGATAGGCTTGCCAGATTGGTATCGAGTTTGTTTACTGGGTTTTGAAATTGGAACTGGTGATAATTAAACTGCGGAGCGTATCTGTCAGGGACAGTTGAAGCAGGGTGTAGATCCTAGTTTCAAATCTAATTCACAAAGACTGGTGATTTAAGTTCCCTTAAAGAGGGATTCCACCCATTTTTCAGCGTTTCTGCATAATTAAATGGTCGAGATAAAAACAAAGTCATTAAGAGTAGATTGGTGTGAAAATGTTCATTTGTGGAAAAACTTAATTTCTTTACAGTGGTCGTGGTAGGAATCAGGGGTCACCATGTCTACAACACAAATATAGACATTTTATTTACTATCCAAAACCACCAGTGAACCTACATGTGTCTTTTGAGCCTTTATGTGCAACGTTGATTATGGTAAAACAGTGAAACAGTAATGGATTTTTACAAGTATGTTTTTTTTTCAAAATGTTTTACATCTTTACCATTTAATTATGAAGAAATTTAGAAAAATCTGTGGAATTTCTCTTAAATGTCTAAACATATCTTACAGTACTGTCTTAATAAGGAAAGGATTTGTGATTTTTATAGTTTGAAATGACATTCGTGTGACATTGTGATTTCTAATTCTTATTTAGAGTAATTTTTTGTCAATTTCGCTGCCTTGTAATTTGATCCTCACTTTCAAATGCAAGGCACCCTGTATATTAATTCTATTATAACTTCATTCTGGATATTAATTTTACAGCTATTAAATGGCTTTTAAAGCGATAGCTTTAGCACTTTCAGCAGATTACACTGGGCAGTATTTGCAGGAGAACTATGATTAAATTAATGAAAGAAACAGCTTAGTGGAGCTCCAGTTCCCCTCTAAAGCCTCCACTGTAACCAAAATCTATGAGCTGTATGAACAAGAGTTGAGAGGCTACAATCATGGAGTTGAACGACTGACTGCATTTAAGATATATATGATGTGTGTGTGTGTGTGTGTGTGTGTGTGTGTGTGTGTGTATATATATATATATACACACACACTGGAGCTCCACCAAGCTGTTATATATATACATATATACTGATGTGGCCACTGTTTTTCTCCCAGGATGTTGGTGATTCTGTGTGTGGAAATAAAATGATTTTCATGTTCAGGTTCAACATTCACACTATAATATATTATTACTGAATTATTAAAAGTAATAAATACATCCTGATGAAGATCATTTTGCCCATTTATACTGTTCTATAAAGTTTGAACACCCGGTAAAATTCCACGTTTCTAATTTAAAGAATAAGTTAACACATCCTCTACTGGTAACACATTTAAATATGCCATTTTTCTGCATCTTTAGGGCCCAATTTTTATTTATTTGCAGAATTTAACATATTACAAAAAATAAAACATAGAATATAAAATGTGCTCTAACTTTTGCACAGGCCACATTCTTTCCAGTATGTTACATTCAGCAAATAAACGGTACTAGTGTATTAAAAAGTGCAAAATTGTGTTCTCTGTAGAGGATGTGTTCACTTATTTACACTTAGGAAATCAACAAGATGAAATTACCAAGGGTGTCCAAACTTTTGCATATGACTGTGTACCTATAACAAAACGCACTGCTTTAAAAATAGACAAATCCCTCTTTAGCATCACATTTGAGCTAATTTGACAAATATGAATAATCACAATGAATTTAGTACCTCTTCAGTCATTTTAGAATCTTCTACAGCTCTGTTCTTCATTCTGGACACATCTAACATTTCTACATTTTTTTTTACAGCTTCTTCCAGATTTGTTGAAATCTGTGATGTAGATTACTAACTTCATATTAAAATAATTTTATGCATGGATCTGCCACAAAATTAGTTTAATATCATTTCTATTCCAGGCTTGGATGGGGTAGTGTATATGTCTGTGTATATATGAGTGTTTATATAACTGTTCTACGCTGGCTGATGGGTGATTCTGTCCTTCACAGGTGCGGCAGAGAAGAGTTCAAAGCACGGCGCTGAGGATCGCACTCAGAACATCATCATGGCCATGAAAGACCGCATGAAGATCCGAGAGAGGAACAAGCCTGAGATCTTCGAGCTTATCAGGGACGTGTTTATGGTTACTAAGGCCATCCATGCCCAGCAGATGAAGACCATCAAGCAGAGCGTGCTGGATGGCACATCCAAGTGGTCAGCAAAGATCACCATTACCGGTATGGTCAACAGATACGTTAAAGCTTGTGTTAATGTAGGGAATAAAAGTACAGTAAAGGTTAGGGTTTAGGACAGACCCCTCCCCATATAAAGTACTTTAGAAATTATGATTTTGTAAATATTTATCCTAATATAATCTCTATTAATGTCTTGGGTTTAAGAAGATTTTTAGCAGTTTTACTGCAGGACTGTTAACTAACTTTGGTAGAATGGCCCATATAACTGTGTATAAGTAGTTATATAGTTAGATAATAGCAACATAGACACGTACATAATAATTTACATTCAGTGCTCTCATAATTTGTTACATCTCTACTGTCATTTGCAGTATGTCATGCCATCTAGTAAAGAAATGTTCTTAAATTTATATTTCTCAGCAATAGATTATAGAATTCAAATGTAATAATGTAAGAAGGAAAAAATATTCAGGGATGTTGGAAAGAAAGACAAGACAGACAAGAAAGGCAGGAAGAAAGAAAGAAAGAAGAGATAAACCAGAAAGAAGGAAAAGAAGAGATGAACCAGAAAGAAAGAAGAGATAAACCACAAAGAAACTAAAGAAGAGATAAACCAGAAAGAAAGTAAAGAAGAGAAAGAAAAGAAAAAACAAAATGAAGAAAGAACTTATCTCTGTCAGTAACTGTTAAACACTGTGAAGTTGATTGTTGTTTGTTTATGTTTGTTTCAGTACATCTTGAGCTTAATATAATCTCTCATTGAGTTATAACGTCCTCATCTGCTCTCTGCTCAAGCACCAGCAGATAGAAACAGTGCAGGTGATTAGGGATTCTCTCAGTGGTGCCTCCGTCTGTCTCTCTGTCTGAGTGTCTGTGTCTCTGTCTGTATGCTGCAGTGGTGTGTGCACAGGGGCTGCAGGCTAAAGATAAGACGGGTTCCAGTGACCCCTACGTGACCGTCCAGGTGGGGAAGACTAAAAAGAGGACCAAGACCATCTATGGCAACCTCAACCCTGTCTGGGACGAGAAGTTTCACTTGTGAGTGCCTAATGGACCGCTCCACTCCCACCTGTCATATTAAGGGTCTGTCTTTTTCTGGCAGCCCCTGGTTCTACATATTAAAATGTGTGTTGCCCCAGTTTGAAGGTTTGGTGTTCTTCCGATGGAGTGAACTGCTCTGGCCCTGGGCTAGACTCTGTATTCTCCTCCTCATGAATCTCTGCCACTCTGCTAGTTTATGCATGCCACTCGTCTGTAGCCTATTGCTTTAATGCAGTGGACCCCAATTCTATTCATAAAAAGACCCTTGAGGGCTCAATCTTAAGTGTGTATCAATAGGTAGAGTTTTTGTTGGGGATGGTAGAGACTTCTTAAAAGTTTTGTCCACTTTCTAAGTTTTAAGGTTTGCAGAGGAAATCTTGAAATAGTGTCGGTCTACTCTTACTGCCCAGCTGTCGTAATCCAGATGATAGAAACAGAATTATAGCATGAAATAATTGATAAAAAGCTGTCTGACAACTGTCTGAAGTCCAGTGATCCCAGTATCTCCACTGATACATGGATCATTGGACGACAGTCATTTCCATGGTTACACTACACTCATGTTCATAGGCACACTACACCCATTTCCATGGTTACGCTACACCTATTTCCATGGTTACACTACACCAATTTCCATGGTTATGCTACACTCATTTCCATAGGTACACTACACTCATTTCCATGGTTACAATACACCCATTTCCATGGTTACGCTACACCAATTTCCATGGTTACACTACACTCATGTCCATGATTATGCTACACCCATTTTCATGGTTACACGACAGTCATTTCCATGGTTACGCTACATCCATTTCCATGATTATGCTACTCCCATTTTCATGGTTATGCTACTCCCATTTTCATGGTTATGCTACACTCATTTTTGTGGTTACACTACAGTCATTTCCATGTTTACGCTGTCCAAACTACCCTTGAGCTCAGACACTGCCAGAAACAAAAGGCACTGCTCATACCTAGAAATATACAGAAATAAATATACACCCATTTCCACTACACTGAACCCATTTGCATCATTATAGTGCATCTGTTCCCATGGTTACGCTAGGAATAATACTAGCTGTTAGGCTAGGAATAATGATTTCTTGTTTTGTATTTGAGGAGTGGCAGGTGCCAACATGCTACGCCTCAGTTCTGCCCGCCTCAGTTCTGAAACCAAAACTACACATTTGTTCTACTAAGGAATTTTACTCAGCTGATCAAGCATTACTTGCTATATACAAAATCTACACTCACAATTCACACAACACTAGAAATTCACTCCATATTCAAGAAACGTGCAGGTTTTTCACTCTTTTGGTCAATAATACTGAGTAGCACTGCTCCAGTACTTCTAAAATTACCAGTGATGGAAGTGCATTGCAGTCTTTTTAATATGAGCTTTACAACTGGAGCCTTCTAGAATGTGTTCACAACCAGTTCATCATCAGACATTTACGTTTTTGAATGAAAATGCTCTCTTTACACTGGTCTATTTGGCATGACAGTAATAGTATGACTAAAGATCCTGCCTGATTGTTTTCCTGCTTCTCTCTCAGTGAGTGCCACAACTCGTCAGACCGTATTAAGGTGCGTGTGTGGGATGAGGATGATGACATTAAGTCCCGTGTGAAGCAGAGACTGAAAAGAGAATCTGATGACTTCCTGGGACAGAGCATCATTGAGGTGCGAACACTGAGCGGGGAGATGGACGTCTGGTACAATCTGGGTAAGTATGTGTGGGTGGATAAAATGTGATTTACCAGTTTACCTTTTTAAAACTGTTGTTAAAAGCGCATATTGAAGCATATTGATATTGTTTTGGGCCAAAGATGATTTAAGCACCTAAAAGATTTGGGTGCTAATGAGTGCTGACATCACAGCGGTCACTAATTATTATTATTAAGTGCCATCCAGTCAATTCCATCACTTGGCAGCTGAGCACACTGGACAAAAAATTAGTCACATGTGATTGAAATGTACCTAATAGCATGTAATACATCCACAAGCATGAATACAAACTGCGATTCGATTTGCCATGGACTGGACAAGTTTCTGGATGTAGGTGAAACCAATGTTCAGCCAGAATGTTGCATCAAAGAATTGCGTAGTTTGGCCTGATTTCGTGGATGCCTTCCCTGGCGTTTTACTCATTGTTCCAGGTAGTCCCACAGATTTTCAAGAGAATTCAAATCTGGGAATTTTGTGGGCCAGTCCAGATGTGTGAACACTCCTGAATGTTCATCATGCCAACCAATCACATTTGCACATCATCTTGGAATACAGGAGTAGGAACATTATGTTTCTCGTAAGATGATGAGCAAAAGGCAAAAACTGTCTGTCCAGCAGCCCAATGTAGGCACTGTGGTTCAAATTTACTGTCACCTCAACCAAAGGACCCATTTCTGTTTAATTTAAACACCCCAGAAGATCACAGAGGCTCCTCCAGCTTAAAACACACAGTGCTCATTGAAGGCTTCCTGAGAACTTTGATGAACACACCCCCAGCATCATTCCCATACAGGCAGAAACGAGATTCATCTGACCACGTTTCCAGTCATGAACAGTCCAATTTTTGTGTCTTTGCCGACTGTAACTGGGCAACTTTGTGAGCAGACGGGGATTTCTGCCACTGCTGGTAGACCCGTATGACGTACGCTTTGATACACCTGCAAATTCAGCTACTTCCTTCACACCATGGCCTTTGGCACGCCCCAATGCAATCACTCCTTTTTGCCAATCATAAATATCTGCTTTGCGACCCATTTTCCACACTCCGAACAAGACATTCACTGCACCTTTTTTCAATCTATGAATCCTGTTACACACCCCGCAGGTCTTTATAGCCCGATCGTCCTCGTGCAAAGCCATCTGCAGGAGCCTGAAGTTACTACCACCTTAAACATGCAAGGTGACTAAATTTTTGTCCAGGGAGCTTATATGGAGAGTGTTTCTTCAGAATATTCCATTTTCTCTTTGGGTTTTCAAGCATCTTGCTGGCTTGTTTGTGATTCCTATGATTGTTGATCCATCCTCTCGCTGGTCATTCTCTTCCTCTTTTACCCTCAACTGTTCCAAGCATAGTTGTCTTTTTCTAATGAATTCATTCTTCTCATAATGCCCAAAACAGGATTTCAGCTTGGTTATTTGGGCTTTGAGAATTCTGAACTTGGTCAAGGATCCATTTGTTTGTTTTCTTGCCATCTTGCCATAAAAAACACAAAGAAGACCAAAGTCTGGACAGTTCTGATCTTTGTTTGAAAAGACACATTATTACATTTGAAGATCATTTCAAGTTCCTGCATTCTGAGTGCCAATCTGTGTCGTATTTCTTAAGTTCTGGATCCTCTGTTGTTAATAACTGATCCAAGTAGACAAAAGCTGCCCAACATTTCCACATCTTCTCCATCACTGGTCAAGTTAGTGGTCTTTCCCATTGTCGTAATCTTTGTTTTCTTCATACTGAGCTGAAGTCCCATCTTTTCACTCTGTTCTTTAACCTTCCTTATAAGGACCTTCAGGTCTTCCTGATTTTCCACTGTGAGTGTCGTGTCATCTGTATATCTGAGGTTACTGATGTTTCTTCTACCAATCTTGAAGTCTCTCTCATCTTTCTCCAGTCCTGCTTCTCTTATTATATGCTCAGCTTGCAGGTTGAACCAGTACGGTGACAGTGGAGATCCTTGTCTTACTCCTTTGCTGATGTGGAACCAGTCTGTTTGTTCATTTCATTTCTTTAATGACTGTGAATTGTTCATATGGTCGCACATACTTACACATAAATAAATATGTTTTTATTGATGTAGTACTTACAGACATAAATTAAGTTATTTGACCAGTGGTCAATCACAGATTTCGGTATTTCTGTTTTCTCATGAGTATAAATAAAAAGTATGTGATATTCTATTTTATAGTCTTTATATGTTATTGCTTTATTAATTTGTTGTTTAATGCATTAATTCAAACACACAAAAAAAAACATTCATATTAAAACACTGAAAATCCAAGCATCCCCAGTCTGTTGAAGAGCGATGTATGTCTTACATATTTTTCATCAGTCTTATGTAAAGACTGATTGTTTGCACATTCTTGTTTATCAAAAGAGCCTGTTTACAAAGGATTTCTGCATTTCCACAAGCGTGTGGGAGTTATAGGAAGTTGAATAGGTGAGTTTGTAAGTGGGCCATTGTCAGAGCAGCGATGAACCCGAATCCCTCTCAGCTCTGAAGCCTCACCTCAGACGACACTCTGAGCCTTCAGCATGCCTGGCTGCTTCTATTTTAAGCGTTCTGGGCCTTTTGTGGAAATCCACTCGTGTTTAAAGTGCACTGAGTAATGCAAAAACACGCTTACATACTGTGCCAACACGGAAATAGAACCGTTACCTTCTGAGACTGGTGTTATTACATCTAGGTCAGTTGGATTGGAGTAATGTTGTAATGATGGGGTTTTTGATTTGATGGTTATATGCAATGATCTTGGCATGTATGACTCTTCCCCTGCTCCCAGCCTGCCATCTGGTTCATGTATGATATTGTATAATCACATTATTCCCTGATGCCATATGGCACAGGGGCTGCGTATATATGATACCATTCCTGTGCTATTCCTGACAGGCTGTTAATGACTATATTATACATTTTTCTTGCATTTTAGGTCCACTCAGGACTAAATTTGTGTGGTTTTATGCACCGGAATCAGTCAACCTTTCTTTATCTCTTAGTTAAACAGACTTGTTACTGTGCCTTTAAGACTAATGCATGTAAATGATCTGATTAGCTGTCCTGTTTTGTGCCTCATTCAAAAAACAGTCCAATCTGAAGTCCTTCAGAACTTTGTTGTGGGTTGGCGAAGCTAAACTGCTGTAGGCTAAATAGGTGGATTATTTTTTGTGACATCACAAAAGCAGTGAATTCAACATGTGCTAGTTTTTGCTGCGTAGTTTCCATACATGAGTAGTGAATGGTATATTTTGAAACTTTACCAGTGTTGAGATTATTACGACAGTTCCGTTTTTTTTTTTTTTTAATGGACCCTTTAAGCATTTAGAATATACATCGTATAGGAGAAAAGTTGTTAACAGCCAAAAGAGCTGACAGCCTCTCAGTCCAGCTCTAAATGGGAGGGCTTTTGATGTTCAGGATTTGTGTATGTGTCTGAACTCCATTACCCACGTCTCCCTGCCCTATGGCACATCTCTTCTTGCACAATTACCCCCAGTGTGGATGGAGAAGCCCTGAGGCTTCTGCATTACTCTCAGGAAAACATGCTCTGAATTCTCTTTCTCTCTCACTCTCACTATTTCTCTGCCTCTCTTTATCGCTTGCCTTTTATTCCTCTCTCTCTTAAGGGCAATGACATAAATATAATAAAATTACATGTAAAAACATATTCATGATACACAAAATGTATATCATGATTTTTTGTTTTTCTGGAATTGGAGGAGACAAAATGGATCAGTAAAGCAGTTGTGCCTAAATGATTTTTTAAAATCAACTATTTAAGAATATAAAAAAACTCCAACACTAAAAAAGATATTAATATAATGAGATGGTCATGATTAGCTGCCATCCAGTCAGCTGTGCAGTTTATGCAGTTACTGCACACTGGTTGCTGTTGTTTAGAGACTCTCTATAAATGGTCTCTGACCTATTTGATCTATGCATAGCGGGTTTTGCAAGGTTAGACTAGTAGGGCTAAAGTCAAGACCTTCTTTGTTGAGTCCAAGACCATGACTAGTCAAATGAGAGACCAAATAACAAATGAGATTCAGTAAGAGTCCTCTTAGTAGCCATACTTTTCTTTGCCACAGTTTACATACTGTTTGAGCCATTTAAAAGTGAGCTAACCCCTACAGAATCACTTGTGTTTCATTTAGCCAGTACCAGTTAACTAAATCTAACACAAACCGACAAAATAATTTTTTTCTGAGTTAACAGTGAGGCAGTGTGCACTGGTGACAGTTAAGTAAAAGAGTGTACATGTAAATATAATGTAAATTGTAAATTTGTTTTAGGTCTCCGTCAAAACCAGATGCTAATTTTGTCTAGGAAAGTAACTTTAAAAACTAACTACAGCACTATAGACAAAGTTTAGACATCATAACAAGAACAGAATAACCTCATGGGAAATTGTAGTACATGACTCAGGTTCAGACTGATCTATCCTAACAGTGTGACCTTTCAGATGTATACAGAAAAAATAATATTTGAAATTTATAACTCTCCAAATTTACTGCAAATGTCAGAGGCCACCCTTCAGTTGTGTGCTATGATTTCTCATTAGTTTGAATGCATTTTTTCCAGTGCGCTGTAAAGCTTGTCCAGCCTGGCAACAGCAGCTATGATAGATTGAGGAGCATGCATAGGTTAGTTGGTCTTAGGCCCAATTCCATTTCACCCCTAACCCCTACCATTTAGCCCTCCGTTTTGCATGTTCATGTCTAGGGGTAGCATGTCCTGATTTTTGTTGAGACAGAGGGGTGGGATGAAGTGTTAGGGCTACATGGCCCTCCAAACTGAGGTTTTCAGAGGCACACTCCAAACAGAGTGTTATCAGTAAAAAAGAAAAATCAGCAAGATGGCTGCGCAAGCGACCAAAGAAACCCACAAATGTGACAATTTTCTCTGTTAAAAAATTATGATAACTGTTGTATTATCTTTTATTGTCAATGTATTTTGGTCCTTTTCTTCATAACAAGCATAGAAAATCGCTGATCGTATACTGATGTCTTGGTAGCTAGCTAGCTAAATTTCCCATTCAATCTTAAATAGTCCAGCAGTACTGACACCTAAAGCGGCAGAATTTAACTGCTGCGCCATTTAAGGTGGAACAGGAAAATTGAGAAGCTGTGTATAGTTGACTTCAGCTTCATATCACTAAATAATAAGGGGTGGGCAATAATAAATAATACCCCCCCACCGCCCCCCACTTTAAAAGCATACGATGACCTAAATGTAACTAAAGCTCAGCAGCGAGGTTGCTGAAATTTACCCTCCTCTGCTATCACTGCAGACTAGCAGGGTCGCCTACAGAGCAGCGCTAGTAGCCTGTTAGTGAAGCAATGTTCTTTTTTTATTTGAGGGTCCCATTTCGTAGAGGAAGATTTCAACCACTACACTTTAACTCAGTTTCAAGGGGCAAGGTGACACTTGAAAACAAGGGGTAGGGGTAAAAATATGAAATAGGATTGGGCCTTAAATCTGTGAGGTTCTGACGATGCCCAACTTATACTCGGAGGAGAATATTGTAATGTAACTTATCACGATAACAATGGCTTTAGCCTCCTCTCTCTGCCTCTCTCTCTCCCTCCCTCCCTCACTTTCTCTCTTTCCATATATGTGTCTTTTCTGCTAGAGCTTGCTGAGGCTAATCGTTTGTTACTTTAAAATGTATTCTCTCTCTTCATTCCTTCATTGTCTTCGCTTGTTGTCTTCTGCATTCTTTTGCATTTATGTGCTCTTCTAATTGCCCTTTTCTGTAGCTTTGCTCTCTACAACAGCTCTAACAATTACAGTCAATACCAGTAATTGAGCCTCTCTCTCTTGTGCGCTGTCTCTCTCTCTCTCTCTCTCTCTCTCTCTCTCTCTCTCTCTCTTTCTCTTTCTCTCTCTCTCTCTCTCTCTCTTTCTCTTTCTCCCTCTCCTTTTTCCACTCCCACTTGTTCCCTCTGCGACCGGAGCGGTCCGCCTTGATTATTATGTACCCTGCTCCCGTCGGAAATCGACCGATCAGTCGACACGTACAAATTACCCCAATAATTTGCCTGTCAGGGGAAAACAGGCAGGAAGGAACAAACCCTGTGACTCTGAGAAAAGGCTGTTCTGCTCCCCGTTCAGTTTTTCCCATTTTACAGATGTTTTTACATAAAATATTCCACTGGCTCATTACGGTGATTTAATTCAGTGATTCTGGGAGCCGCTGCTCTAATGTGCCTTCTGCTCTCTGCAGAGAAAAGGACTGATAAATCTGCGGTGTCTGGCGCGATCCGTCTCCAGATCAGTGTGGAAATTAAAGGAGAAGAGAAAGTGGCTCCCTACCATGTGCAGTACACCTGCCTACACGAGGTACACATATTGCACACAAACACACCAGCTGGGTGAACTTAACTCACAGTGCACCTGCTGTCCTTTTAGAACAAGGTAACAGCACTAATAATGGGGCTGAATGTCAGGGAGTACTGAGTTCTGCTATTATAGTGATAATTCACTTAAAATTACTAAAGTAAGAGTAAATTATTTACTGGAAAACTATAAACCAAAGCTGAGTCTTTGCTTTACTTTTAGTTAAAGTAGTAACTTTAGTTTCAGTAGGTACTTGCAAGAGGATTTTCACAGATTTACTGAAAAGTCTGCATAATTAAATAGTTGAGATGTAAACAATCATTCAGAGTTGTTTGGTGTGAAATGGTTCAATGTAGAGAAACTTACAGACTCTGGTTTCTTTAAAGTGGTGGTGATAGGAACCAGGGGTCGCCATGACTACAACACAAATCTAGCCATTTTATTTACTATCTAAAACCACCAGTAGTGTCTCAGACATCAGATGATGTATTCATAACCATTTCAGGCAATAACTTTCAGTGAGGGAGCTTTTAGAGGTGAGAAGTTTCTGTACAGTAAACCATTTCACATCAAACCACTTTGAATGACTATTTACATCCCATTCATTTATTTATGCAGACAAATTTGAAAAAAAAATGGTGGAATTCCCCTTTAAGATAGTAGTCCAGTTCTAGCCAGGTTAACTGGCTTCCTAAGTTAACCCATTAGCTCATTTGCATGAAAGTTTGGGCACCACTGGTCAAGTTATATGCTTTTCTAAGTGAAAATATTCTGGACAAAAATACTACGCTTTTGGTTTTCCTCCCATTTTGCAGCTGTTTAATAAAGAAATGTGTCCTGCTGCTTTGGGAAATTGGAGGTCACACCAAATAGTAATGTGGGAATTTTTGCAGGGTTTAAGTTAAATCTTCACAGAAAAAGTGTGTATATTTTTGCTCAGTGTAAGTTAACACATCCTGCACAGAGAACACACGTCTGCACATTTTAATGCACAGTTACAGTCTATTTGTTAAACATATCATATTAGAAGAAAATAAAACATGCAAAAGTGTGGGCACATGCCACATTTTGTTTTTTTCAGTATGTTAAATCTGTCAGAATTTAAAATTACCCCCAGGTTTTTAGATTTGGTATACAAAGGAAAGAGGCCTAGCAGAATCACTGTTACGTTAAGCAAATATATCACTGTTTTTAGACTAAAACCTTGCGTCTCCAAAATGGTAACTTTACAGAAGGAAAAACCTACTTTACTTTTAATGTAAGTCAATGGAACCAGACTTGACCAAGTCATATTGGGCCGTTTCTTTTAGTCCATTGATCATGAAATTTACACACAATGTAAAGGGCAACAGGCATTTTCAAATTATGTCAAAAAAAAAAAAACGCCAAAAATGGAGATACATGTTTTTGTCCCGACAGCAGTGATTTAGTAATTGTGCATTAAAATGCAACATATTTAAATTTGTTCCATGTAGAAGGTGTTTTAATGTTTTTGCAGTTAGGAAATCAAGCACTTGCAGTAGAACATATTCACTGTCAGACAAAAACCATGTAAAACAGTAACTTTACAGGAGAAGGGAAAGCATCATGAAATTTTACACAGTGGTGTTTTTAAATATGTATAAAAATTTAAAAAGAACAGAAATGCAGTTACAAGGTTTTGTTCCAACAGTGACAATATATAAGCAGCAATAATAAAGAGCTGTCGTGCTTGTTATTCTATTAGGTAAGATTAATTAGCCAGCTGGCTTCTCTAGGTTTTGAAGAGATTTTTCATATTAATTATTAAAAATGAACATGGCTCTAGTGACTAATTCTAATAGAAATAAACACAAGTAAAAAAATCTATAATTTAGTTATATTCAAAGTACAGTAGCTCCCACAACTCTGTAGTAATTTGTTTCTGTCAACCTCTGCTAAAGGTGACTGAATGCAATAGAGGCCGGACTGAGGGCAAAATCCTCATATGTCATTAACGTGTACCATAAACCTCACTAATAAAACCTCTATAAATCTTTTCCAGAACCTCTTTCACCACACCACGGACGTCCTTGGCCAGGGCGTGGTGAAGATACCGGACGCCCGGGGAGACGATGCCTGGAAGGTTTATTTCGATGACGTGGCTCAGGAGATAGTGGACGAGTTTGCAATGCGTTACGGCATTGAATCGATCTACCAGGCCATGACGTACGTACCAAAGCATCTTCCAGCCTCCCTGACTCTTCCTCTTCCATCGCTACTAAGCCTCTTTCATCACCAAAGTCTATTAACAACAGGTCATGCTGGCAGATTAGCCTGTTAATTAGAAGCAGCCAAACAGTTCTGATTCATTGTACCTATTCTAGGCTTTTTTCCAGAAGAAGTGCAGGATAGACTGAGAGCAGGGCTTAATTAGTCACTTCCCTTTCTTACTTTATTCCTTTGTTGTTTTACATATTTGAAACAGTGATTTTAAATTGTGTTCTGCCCTGGCACATCTCATATAACTGAGAAAACCTTTTTTATTACTGTGCATTGAATGGGTTCTGTAGCAGGCGTAGTTCCCCTGAGAGAAATATGAGACATCTGGAGCTTTAGTCGCATCAGAAATAAAGTCCTAAGTGCACTTCATGTCTTTAGATGGTGATGTTATTAACATGAAGCAGCAGCAGTGTTTTATGACTGTCGATCTGCAGCCATAGCTGAGCTCATGGGCCGCAGAAATGGAGGAGAAGGGTGTCTGTCCTGACCTCATTTTCTTAAAGTGGACCAGAGAATTTATGGGTGTTTTTGGCCAATATGTTAAAAAGTGTCATATTTAAGTGTGTTCTCTGTAGAGGATGTGTTAATGTATTTACACTTAAAAAATCAACAAAACTTTAACCGGGAAACTTTTGCATATGACTTCAGGTGCAATTTGAGGGAGTGAAGATAAAAACTGTAACCCATCATTTGCTGCATAAGACAAAGCATGTACCGCATGTAGTAGGGCTGAAAGACTAATGGTTTTTACATCAAAATTGCACTTTAGGACGAGCTGATGAACAAAAAAAAATTAATTGAAGTCTACACGCTTAAAAAAGATCTTTAAGGTTCCTAAAAAAGATTATAGAACCATGAACAAGACTCATTTGCACGCTTAAAAGGTTCATTGTGACATCATTCTTCAGTCTGATGGAGAATGTGTTGAATATGATTCTATATAGCACCAAAGGGGGGTCTGCTATTGTGACGATGTCTGGTTTGTAACCATCAAAGAACATTTTGGTGCTAAATAGAACCCTTTTCAGAAAGGTACTATGTAGAACCATATACAACATATTCTCCATAAATCTAAAGAACCAACTTTTTAAGTGTTTATGATTCTATATAGAATCATTGTCTTTACTAAAGAATCTTTTTGAGTGTGCACATTAGCAAAAATGTTGTTTTAAGTTTAAGAGTTTGTGAAATACCTGTAGATAAATTAGACCAGTCAGAGACAACCAAACCTCCATGTGTTGTAACATCACAACCACAACTTACTGGCAGTTTGGCAAACTACGTTCAGGGGTCAAGCCTCAAGCCAAAAAAGGTGGATATTTTGGTCTTCTTGGCCAAAATAAATCAGGCTTGAATCTCGATGTCTAAAAATATTGCAGAAATGCAATTAGATATTTTCCCCAAATTGTTCAGCCCTGGCATGTAGACAAAGTAAAGGGGTGGTAGGAAATTTCAAGTACTGATCAGCTTGTAGTTTTCTGTTTAAAATGACATAAACCCATTTTGTTTGCCTTTCTCTCTCTCTCTCTCTCTCTCTCTCTCTCTCTCTCTCTCTCTCTCTCTCTCTCTCTGTAGGCATTTTGCCTGTCTCTCATCTAAGTACATGTGTCCCGGTGTTCCTGCGGTGATGAGCACCCTGCTGGCCAACATTAACGCCTTCTACGCTCACACCACCGCCTCCACCAACGTCTCCGCCTCCGACCGCTTTGCCGCCTCCAACTTCGGGGTAAAAGCCCAGCCAAGAATTATGATTTAAAGCAGGAGTATCCAAGCTTTTTTTTTTTTTATAAAGGACCATGTTGAATTACTCGAGGGCCGAAATATTATTCACAAATGATTAAAAATATTATGTTTTCAGGATTAAGTTTTCAAACATTTTGCTGGCAGTCCATTACAAGAATTTAGCTATGACCGCTTAGGCACACATAAATCTGCCACCCGAGGAGTTACAGCATCTGCATGTTTACACTGGTCAGAGTAAAACGCATCAACATGTAGGACCGGAGCTGTCTGTGTGCTACAATGTTTCCTATCACTGTATGTAAGACACACAAGGCTTCTTTTGTTGTTGGAAAGCTCATTCAGAGCAGTATGGATTCGTAAGTGCTTATAACAGCCAAGTTTTGTTTGGTCTTATTAAAGGATTAATATTTACAGAATTTTGCCGATCTGCAGGCCACGTTTGGCCCTGACGCTGGACTTTAGACACCCTTGTTTTAAAGCCATACAACCTCATACAGCATCTTCACTCATGAAGCTAGATTAGAAATGACCAAGCTGTTATGCAGTGGGGGGCTGTGGTGTTAGGGCAAGGTCAGTTCAGGCCATGAATGTCAAAACACGGTCAAAAAAAATAGTAAAAGAACACCTCTATGATAATAATGATGATATTTTCAGCTAGCATGCTACTACATTGCATGCACAGTTAAAATGCAACAAGTGTGATGACACTATTCAATAAAATTGAACTGGGAAATATATATTAGACCTTCTTTGAAGGCCCTGAGAGTTGCTGTAATGACAGTGCAGCACTATATGGAGATGTACTGCACTAGCAGATCTCTTAGAAGAGTAAAGCAACTGAAATTAGATGGAAGAAGTGAAGTTTTCTGTCATTTCTCTGCACCTCATCCCAGTCCCTCTCGAGGGAGGGCAAGAAGAACTTATTACAGACATAACACGAAAGAAGAAAGTCCCGTTAGTGTAGCCCATTCTCACGGGAGCTGTATTTTCCAACGGTAAGTGTGATTGCAAACCTGACACCAAGAGCAGGCAAGAGCGGAGTCATTTTAAAATGATGAGGTTATTGCTGGGTAACAGGAAATTATGTACAACTTAAAGATCACACTGAAAGTGGAGAAGCTGCACAAGTTAGCAGTTACAGTTTTATTCCGTTATTGACAGAATGAGTAGGTAAACGCAGTTCAGTATAATAACACTGCACTCAGTCCATTGTGTCCTAAAACACTGTCTCTGTTAATGTGTTGCTGTTACTAATGACCATAGGAAACAGTATCAATTTAAACTTGCCATCAGCAGCAAGCATAGTGTTTCACTGTGTCAAATGCTAATGCTTACTCTTCTAACTCTGTTCAATGATAAATAACCTTGCTAATGTTTTAAAGCCATGCCGTCTTCATGATAAATGAAAGCGGGCCATTTCTGAATCACAGTTAACTGATGGTGAATATATCACAGCTAAGTGTGTGCTGGTTCAGTTATGCTTTGAAGCTACTTTCTCATCTCACTGGCGCACCTTCTCTCCCAACAGAAAGAGCGGTTTGTCAAGCTCTTGGATCAGCTGCACAATTCTCTGCGCATTGACCTCTCCATGTACAGGGTGAGTCTCGCTGACCAGAACCTGTTTGACTGTATATCTAGCTGAATTTTGAACCCTGATGTATATCTTGTTGCAGAATAATTTTCCTGCTAGCAGTAAGGAGCGCCTGCAGGACCTCAAGTCTACCGTGGACTTGCTCACCAGCATCACTTTCTTCAGAATGAAGGTACAGGGAAAAAGACAGCTATGAGACTTTGGAAATGAGAGGTGTCACATTATGCTTGCATCTCATGTATTAAGTAATGCAGAAAGTTAGAAAAATCTGTGGAATATTCCTTTTAAGCTTATACAGATTTATAAGTATCAGTGTAAATACTGCATACAAAATAAGCCTTTTTTTGAAATGGTTTGTTTTTATATTATGAACTGTTGCCACTGCATGGGTCAGTATATGACTTCTTCTCACTTGTTAACGCCTCCTGCTGGACAGGTCCAGGAACTTCAGAGTCCTCCCAGAGCGAGCCAGGTGGTGCGGGACTGTGTGAAAGCGTGCCTCAACTCCACCTACGACTACATCTTCAACAACTGCCAGGAGCTCTACAGCCGCCAGTACCAGCCAACAGGAGACACGGTCAGCCATTCTCTCCTTTCTCGTCCAGCAGGGGTGTGGGAAACAAGGATGCTTGATATGGGTTAAACCAGTTCAGAACTAGGAGTATTAATGTTTTTAGGATAATTCATGCTTTCTGTTCATATAATTACAAATAGTAGGAAGCTATAAAAAAATAATAACAATTAATAAAAAAAAATTAAGGATGATTTTAAAGGAGACCTATTATGCTTTTCTGGTTTTTCCCCTTTCCTTTAGTGTGTTATGTAGGGTTTTTGTGCATATAAATGGTCTGCAAGGTTACAAAGCCCAAAGTACACAACAGAGGGAGAGACTCTATCCCACAGAATCCACTTTTCTCAGCTGCCGTAAACGCCTTGTTGGAATTCCAGCCCTTTTCCTTTGTTACAAGGTGACATCATCTTGTAACACAATGTTTATTGCCCACCTACCAGCAAGCCCGGCACACCCTCACAACGCACAGCAACTTCTAGAGGTGGGAGGAGTTTGTTAAGTTTTGTACGCATGTGGAGAAGACACTGACCTGACTTTTAGGATCAACTCGAACTGATACGGCAGAACCAACGTCACTGGAAAAACAGCCACAGCAGAGTTTACAGCTGCTCAGGAGAGAAGGGTCTGTCTGCAGACTGCAAGACAGGGGCGGAACCTGGAGGAGCGGAACCCCTCTGATGGTTGACCAGTCAGAACAGAATGGACGAGCAGACCAATCAGAGCACACTCGGCTCATCGGGTGTGTGGCTTAAAGTCACAGAAGCTCTAACAGACCATTTTTGACAGAGGGTGAATAGAGATGTACATTATATGAAAAATGTTGTGTTTTTGGAGCACTGAAGCATGTAAATCCATTCTAGTAGAATCCAAGAATAAAAGTATGAACATTGAAAATGAGCTTAATAGGTCTCCTTTAGTGATTTGACACATCTTTGAGTTACTGATTATTTGGCATTATTTCAGTATTGATTTAAAAGAATTTTTGCAAGAGTAATTTTTGTTTTTGGATCAGTTCAGAGTATCACGCTTGACTCAGATAATGTAGGTGATTGTATGTCTGATTTTGCTTTTGTCTGGTCCAGAATAAAGAAGAATGTCCCCCAGAGGAGCAGGGACCAAGCATCAAGAACCTGGACTTCTGGCCCAAACTCATCACCCTGATCGTCTCCATCATAGAGGAGGACCGCAACTCATACACACCTGTTCTTAACCAGTAAGTGACTGTACACATATTACAGTCTTTCAAACACACATACATAGTCCATAAAGAAGAATTATAAACCCTCAGCACACTTAATAACCAGCCTGGACCCAGATTTCTCTAAAGCTGCTTTATAGAATAGAACAGCATGCAAATAAAATTTAATTAAAGTGGACTGAACTGGTGAATGTTCTTCACTAACACAGCTCCTGTGTGAAATAATACAAACATTCCACAGAGGAGAATTATAGTCTGCATGCATTGGTTCAAGGCCACTGAAGGTGATCAGTTGCATTGTTTGCTGTTAGGACAAAATGTTATTTGCTGTAGTATTTTTCGGGCAGGCTTGTTACACTCTCATTATTATCAACGAAGCTGTTTTCACCAGACGCCAGCATTGCTCTGATGTTCTCCCTTAGCAAATACTGCAGTTAATCCTGCAACCTTTCATTAAAACTCAGTTAAACTAGTCAAAAATAGACAAGGAGAAACTAATAACAACCCTTTTTTTTGTTTTGTTTTTTAACTTTGCTGTCGATAGTAAATTTGAAAGGGTTACAAAAATGTTATGTGAAGCTAGTTAAGGTCTCGTTTCCAATGTAGACATCCTGAAGTCTTTTGATATTTGCATGTAGATCCGACTAATGTTTTTGCAGAGTGTAAATAAACTTTATTATTTATCAGTTTATGTGTTTTACTTTGTACAAAAAAAGTGCCAAAAAGTGCAAAAACAATTATCTCAAAAATAATCTGCACTAACACGACACTGTGTTTATTTAGAGTTATTTAAGCTGTTCATGCTCCTATTTAGTTTGTCTTTGGGGTGGGGCTGTTTAAGTTTTGCCATAGTTGAACTTAATCACAAGATCACAGTATGGCAAATCATAAGACGTCATAACCGATGTTCCCTTTTATACTGGTAAACCTCCCACCCCAGTTTCAATTAACAGTTATTTCTAAAATTGGTAAATGAATGAAGTATAACTTGATTAATTGACCTTCTTTATTCTATCACAGCACTAAAATCAATCAAATACTATGAATCTACAGACAGTTTCTTCTTATATAGCACCACGAACTCATTTTGCATTTTACTACATTTAATACAGTATACTTCAATCTGTTGGATCATTTGAATGTTATAGACAATTACTGAGTGCCTTTTTCCATAATCAGTGTTGATAATGACTATTCAGCTTCTAATCTTTGCAGCCATGTTATGAGAGTTGTGAGAGTTTAGTATGTTGCTGTCACTAAATGCAAATGCAGACCCATCTGCGCTGTATCTGAGCTGCTACTACTCACTCTGTTCCCTCAGGTTTCCTCAGGAACTGAACGTGGGGAAAGTGTGTGCTGAAGTCATGTGGATTCAGTTCTCTCAGGACATGAAGTACGCCACGGAGGGTGAGTTAAAACACAAGCTCAGTTTGGGTTGGCATGTTTTAACGATCTGTGTGAGCGCATGTTTATGTCCACATTTTGCTTCTTTGCTAACGTGTATTCCTATGACGTCCTTCTACTTTCTTTTTCTCACATCTACCATTAGTCAGTCTGTAATGGACAAGAGTGGACAAAAGTTTCAAACTGTGTTATGAATTTGCAGAGTGTCTTTTATTGAGATTGACCTGAAGTCAGTCATTAATAGTAAACAATAGCAGATCCCCAGCATGGGTCAGAAACAGAAAGGCAGAGTAATCACAAGCATATTCATAACATATAATAAGAAGATGTATGATATAGAGTACTATGCAAAAGTATTGGGCGGTTAAGCACAGAGTTCAAGTCAAGAGGCTTTTATTTTCATTCCATCTATGTACAAGTACATAGTGGAGCGAAAATACGTTCCTCCAGGAACAACAAGGTGCAACAAGGAACAAAAAGTACAAAAGTACAAAATTACAAAGTGCGAACGTGCAGACAGTGTGCAAACAAAAATTAAGCTAGAAACAATACATTAAATACGATAAATTAAACAGACATTAGACACAGTAAACAGACCGGACAGTGTAGCACCGACACAGCACAGATTTCTGGACATGAGGTAGTGGAATAAGGTGCAGACATACTAACATAATGTGATCTGTAATGTCACGTCAGATAACATACATATACACAGCAGTTACTGAGGTAGTAAAACAGTTACTAAGGTAGTGAAAACAGTGTAAACACAGTGTAAACACAGTATTGGCAACAATGTTCCAGATAGATCATCAAAAGAGGTGTGTATGAGTGTGTAGGGGGGGATTTAGTTCAGTCCTTGTGAGTTTAAAAACATGATTGCTTGAGGGACAAAGCTGTTGCTGAGTCTGGCACCGATGCTCTGGTACCTTCTGCCAGACGGCAGCAGTAAAAAAAAGTCTGTGTGAGGGATGGATGGGGTCGTTCACGATGCTGGTGGCTTTGCGGATGCAGCGTGTGGTGTAAATGTCCATGATGGAGGGGAGAGAGACCCCAATGATCTTCTCAGCTGTCCTCACTATGCGCTGTAGGGTCTTGCGGTCGGAGGCGGTGCAATTCCCAAACCAGGCGATGATGCAGCTGCTCAGAATGCTCTCCACAGTCCCCCCTGTAGAACATGGTGAGGATGGGAGGGGGGAGATTAACTTTCTTCAGTCTCCATAGGAAGTAGAGGCGCTGCTGGGCTCTCTTGGCTATGGAGTTGATGTTGAGGGACCAGGTGAGGTTCTCTGTGATGTGGACGCCGAGGAACTTGGTGCTCTGGATCATTTCCACAGCAGAGCCAGTGATGTTCAGTGGGGCGTGGTCACCCCGCACTCTTCGGAAGTCAACAACCATCTCCTTAGTTTTGTCTACATTCAGAGACAGATTGTTGGTTCCGCACCAGTCTGTTAGCCGCTGCACCTCCTCTCTGTGCGCTGACTCATCATTCTTGCTGATCAGACCCACCACAGTCGTGTCATCACCAAACTTGATGATGTGATTTGAGCTGTGCTTTGCAGTACAGTCATGAGTCAGCAGGGTAAACAGCAGCGGACTGAGCACACAGCCCTGAGGGGCGCCAGTGCTCAGTATGGTGGTGCTGGAGATGTTATTACCTATCCTGACTAACTGAGGTCTCTCAGTCAGGAAGTCCAGGACCCAGTTACAGAGGGAGGCATTCAGGCCCAGCAGGCTCAGTTTTCCAATCAGCTGCTGAAGGATGATGGTGTTGAATGCTGAACTGAAGTCTATGAACAGCATTCTGACATAGGTGTCTTTATTGTCCAGGTGGGTGAGAGCCAGGTGGAGTGTGGTGGAGATGGTGTCATCTATTGAGCGGTTGGGGCGATATGCAAATTGCAGTGGGTCCAGTGAAGGAGGAAGCTGATCTTTAATGTGCCTCATGACAAGCCTCTCAAAGCACTTCATGATGATTGGAGTGAGTGCAATGGGACGGTAGTCACTGAGGCAGGACACTGGAGACTTCTTCGGCACAGGGATGATGGTGGTAGACTTGAAGCACGTTGGAACGTCTGCAGTGCTCAGAGAGATGTTGAATATGTCCATGAGAACATCAGCCAGCTGTTCAGCGCATTCTCTGAGCACTCTGCCTGGTATGCTGTTGGATCCTGGAGCTTTCCGTGGGTTGACTCTGTGTAGAGTTCTCTGCACATCAGCTGTGGACAGACACAGTACTTGTTCGCTTGGAGGAGGAGTGGTTTTCCTCGCCGTCGTGCCGTTCTGTGCTTCAAACTGAGCATAGAAGTTGTTTAGTGCGTCTGGAAAGGAGGCATTACTGTCACAATCAGGTGGAGGTGACTTGTAATTGGTGATGGCCTGGATGCCCTGCCACATGCGCCCTGTGTCAGCAGTGTTTTGAAAATGTTCATGGATTTTCTTTGAGTAGGCACCCTTAGCCTCTTTGATGGCCCGGGAAAGCTTGGCTCTTGCTATCCTGAGGCTTGCTCTGTCCCTTGACTTGCAAGCCTTGTCACGGGTTCTCAGTAGCATGCGCACCTCTGCAGTCATCCATGGTTTCTGGTTAGGGTGAGTTGTGACGAGTTTGGAGACAGTAACATCATCAATGCACTTGCTGATGTAGCCAGTCACTGATTCTGTATACTCCTCCAGGTTGATGGAGTCACCGGAGGTTGTTGTTTCTCTGAACATCTCCCAGTCAGTGTGCTCAAAACAGTCCTGAAGAGCAGAGATAGCTCCTGGTGGCCATGTTCTCACTTGCTTCTGGTCTGGTTTGGCACGTCTGATGAGCGGTCTGTATGTTGGAATGAACATCACAGAGATGTGGTCTGAGTAGCTGTAGTGGGGGAGGGGCTCAGCCCTGTACGCGCCGGGGATGTTTGTGTAAACAAGATCCAGCACGTTAGCCCCCGGGTTGCAAAGTCCACATACTGGTGAAATTTGGGGAGCACTGACTTCAGATTTGCATGGTTGAAATCTCCAGCAACAATAAACAGTCAGTCTGGGTGTGTGTTTTGCAGATCGCTGATAGCGCTGTACAGCTCATTCAGTGCGGCATTAGCATTAGCACTGGGAGCTATGTACACCGCTACTATGAACAGCATATTTAGCTCTCTTGGCAAGTAAAATGGCCTGGCTCTGACCATCGCAAACTCCACCAGCGGTGAGCAGTGACTAGAGACTAGTGCCGCGTTTCTACACCATTCAGAGTTGATGTAAATGCACAGTCCCCCACCTCGAGTCTTACCGCACAGCTCAGCGTCTCTGTCCGCACGGAAGCCATTCACCATTTATCCAGACAATAGGTGGTTTTATGTCTGTCAAAACACCATATATTATTATTATAATTTAAAACAAACATTAAACAAGTAAAAATTAACACATCTTGTTTTTAAAATAGTTGATATTTTGTGAACTAGTTAAAAGTTTGTGGCTGAGCTGTTGTTCGTCCATTTCACAATAACAGCACTTACAGTTGACAGGGGCAGATCTAGCAGGGCAGAAATTTCACTAACTGACTTGTGGTAAAGGTGGCGTCCTATGACAGTGCCTTATATATATGAAATATGTTTAAAGTGTTGCGGATGTCCATGGATGGGTCAAATTACTGGTCGTGAGTGCTGATGATGTTTTAATATTCACACCATGTAGGCCTGTTTTTTCCTCTTAGAACATCTGTGTTGTCTGTATGTTAAATTAGTGCTGAGTGACATCAATATCATTCAAATATATCAGTGTCATTACTTATTATTAATAATAATAATTAACAAACCCTTGCTTCCTGAGTGCATTATGCTGAGAGTGCCTTACAAACCTGACATAGCTTTTTTGATTTGGCTGTTTTGTTGTTTTCTTCTTTTAAACGTGCACAGTGTATTGTAAGTGTTAACCATACAGAAAGCATATTTCCAGAAAGACAGTGTGTTATTTATTGTTATTCATTTTTTTTTCTCCTCAGAGCATGAGAAGCATCGCCTGTGTAAGAGTGCAGACTACATGAACCTGCACTTTAAAGTGAAGTGGCTCTATAACGAATATGTGAAGGATCTACCAGCCTTCAAAGGAGTGGTACCTGAATACCCCACGTGAGTGACCCTCAGTTTACTTCAACACGAATATCTGGAGGGTGGATTCTTATTATCTTTTTTCTTTAATTGTTTTATGTGCCATTCTAGCAAAGTTACCATTTTCATCATCACACATTCTCATTTTCAGGCCTATATGGATCATTCTGGGTTCAAAGTCAAAGCACATTTCAGACTTAAGACTAAAATCCTTTTGCTTTTTAATGACCCTGTATCTTAATTACGTTGATTTTATTAAAATAAATGATTGAACATTGAACATTTGGCACCACCAAAACAATCAAAACACTATCAAAACTGTACCAAATGTTTCAGTAGTGACAATTTTAGCTGATTAGGAGCAGAACTCAAACTCTAGCCGGGACATGACTAGCAAACACAGCTTTGAACAGTTTACTTCATTGCAGAAAATCTGTGTTTCGGTAGTGACAATTCTTAATGTTCCACACTGATTTTCAGACCTTGGGGCACATTTACTTAAAAACAGTGGGATCTAATTGCTCACACTGTGGCCATGAGGGACAGGGATGCAGTCTCACTGCCGGCTCTAAAATACAGGGGCTTGGCTAAGATTAGGCTCTGCCCATGGTCTAAAACTCATCATGAATGTAAATCTTTCAAGTTCACTTTAAAAGATCTTTAAAAGGGAAGTATTATTTTCACAGGTGTAAATTTGGAGGTTAGGGTTTGGGACAGACACCTCCCAATAGAAAATTGTTTTGTACATTGATGCCTTATCTTTTTGAATAGACCATAACCTGATCTTTGTAAATATCTAAGGTCTGAATGCTCACTTTGGTTGTTGTATTAATGACCTTGTTGTGCGTTTAGGTGGTTCCTGCAGTTTGTGCTACAGTGGCTGGATGAGAATGAAGATGTGTCCATGGAGTTCATGCATGGAGCCTTAGAGAGGGATAAGAAAGATGGCGTGAGTTGATCTTCTGTTCTGCCAGTCTTGTATAAACACACATAAAAACCACCACATAGAACATACAGACTCGGGAAACATTCATACCCATTCACTTAACTAGGATTTATACTTTCAGTGCAGTTTTGCAATTAAAGTTTGTTGATGCTACTGTTGATCAAGCGTGCCTTGATCAGTTTTTTGGGCAGTACACACATTATATGTAGTGAGGCCAATCCAGTTCAGGCAGAATACACTTGATAATCCAAATAGCTTTATATTAAGAAAGAAAATAGCGTCAAAGCTTTCAATTAATTGTTTTCAACAAAACTTTAAAATAATTCCTCACTGCAGACATTACAGTTCCTTTATTAAAAATATGTAATTTTGCTTACATTTGCACTGTGATATTTTGTGAAATAATGTATTTTAAAAAAGCTGCAGTTTTAAGTAAATCACATTGGTAGCCATTCTCTCTTTCTCTTGAGCAGTTTGAGCATGATACTTTTAGATGCCCACCTTAAGTGAAATAATTCAGTTAAAAACACCACCTTAACTGAAGTGATTCAGTTAAGATTACTACCTTATATGAAGTGATTTAAAATAAAAATACCACTTTAAATAAATTGATTTGATGAAAAATACCACCTTTTGTGAACTGATCAAATTAAAAAATACCACCTTAAGAGAAGTAATTCAGTTAGATGTAAAATGATTTATTTAAAAAAAAACACTTTATGTGAACTGATTGAAAAAAAAAATGCCACCTAAAATTAAGTGGTTCATTTAAAATGCCGTCTTAAGGAAAGTGATTTATTTAAAAATACTTCCTTAAGTGAAGTGATCATTTAAAAAAAATAATAAAATAGGTCATTTTAAAGCTTTGTTGTTTTGTAGTTTTGTATCTTTGTTGTAGTTTGGTATCCCATCTCAAAAGATTGGTGTCTCATCACTACCAATAGAATGTTGTTCCTTCGTTTCTCCTGCAGTTCCAGCAGACGTCGGAGCACGCTCTGTTCTCCTGCTCAGTGGTGGATGTGTTCACACAGCTTAACCAGAGCTTTGAGATCATAAAGAAACTGGACTGTCCGGACCCCAAAGTCATGGCCCACTACAGCCGCCGCTTTGCCAAGGTAAAGCCGGGCAGCACTGGGCACACTTACCTCTGACCTGTGTCATCCTGTGCTTTTATGCTTTGTGTAATTTCATTAGACATAGAGTCCTGTATGATGAGTATGTCCCGATATTTCACTTAAGTTTGGGTCTTATCTGCGTTTAGAGCGAGCTGGCCCAGTTTTGACCTCCACAAATGGTATCATCGGTGGAGAAAGCAGTTGAGGAATATCAATGGGACTGAAATACTTGTCTGAAAAAGAATGAGATTCTTCTGTAATCAAATGAAAAAGCCTAATGCGGCTCTATCCGTCAAACTGGAGCCGGCCCCGGGGACGAGCTTGGCTCACTCTGTCCCTGCTTTTCTGCAGAAATGGGATGTTCCCTCAGGAGTCTTTATCAGAAGTGCGGAGGCTTTAGCAGAGCGATTTTCAGCCGTTTATGACTGATAGTGCAGCAGAAGCAGCGGGAGTTTCAGGGGTTTGTTAGACACTCACTTGGGCGAATGCTGCTTCAGCATTCAGCTTTCACTGAATTGGTTTCAGTCATGCCTCTTCTTACAAACTGATATTTTGATTGCCCTGCTGATTTGAAAACACGCAATTTAGAAGTTTCTTTTTTTTCTTCAAAATTTAGTTTAGCTAAGTATTGGGGATTGAAACCATTGAAAATGTACAGCCAGAAAATGGTCAAAATAGTACGCTTGGTTTTTGAGAGAGAAAAACAGCCAAAATTTTGACCACAAATAATGACAAAGATCAAAATGTAAATGTAAATGTCAAAATGTAAAGTCTTATCCACAAAGAGCCAGTGTGGCTGCAGGTTTTCTTTCACCACAAGCTGGAGCTCTTCTGCTTCTACTCATCAAATAATTCAGTGTCAGTCATTAAACAAGTGCTGATCTGATGTACTGCTTTATTACGAGTGAAAACCTGCAGCCACACCAGCTCTTTATAGATAAATTGGTCACCACTGTCTCTGATTTTGTCTCTTTTAGTTGTTACTTTTGGTCAGATTAATGGCTTTTTTCACTGCACTGGTCAGCACAGACGCATTCAAGCAGTTTGAGCTGCTGCAGCAGATAAACAGTGAAAAAGTCTGTCGTGTGAATCTATTTCATGGTTTCTGTGAGGGACATTAGACAAACCAGCGACACTCAACCAGTCGCTGGCACAACTCTGATCTCTAACAGTGGCAAAAAGCCTCTGATCAGTAGATCAGATCCACTTCAGAGTCGCCTGAACCAGAGTTTCAGTGGAAGAGATTTTATTTATTTTTTTTATTTTTATTTTTTCAAATCTGAGCTTTTTGTTCAAAGGCCTTAACATAGTTGGTATCACAAATTTAGTACAGAATCTGGAATATTTCTCATTTGACTTGTCATAACTAATATATATATATATATATATATATTCCTTCTATCTCCATTTTTGTCATTTTTCAGTTTTTGTATTTTTCTTTTTTCTGCAAGATTTGTAATTGCTTAAAGTGGTATTTTGCCTGTTTCATATTTTCCCCATCAGACCATTGCCAAAGTGCTCCTACAGTACAGCGCTATTCTGAAAAAAAGCTTTCCCTCCTACTGCGACAAAGAGAAGATTGTGAGTCAGTCCACTACAGGACCATTTTTATTTTCTATTTTTGCTTTTTCTGTGAATTTGTCTCAAGTCATTTCCTACTTCAACTCCATTTCCTCTCCTCCAGCCATGTGTCCTGATGAATAACGTGCAGCAGCTGCGTGTTCAGCTTGAGAAGATGTTCGAGTCGATGGGTGCCAAACAGGTAGGAAGAACACAGCATGGAGGACAAGCTTGTCCTGAGAAAAGACGAAGAGAAATGTCTCTGTACGCTGAAAGTACAATATCTGTCTTGGCTGTTGCTGCGACTCTCGTTCCTGTTTTCTCTCGGTGTAAGAAGTATGTTTACCCAGCTGTCTGCAGGTGGAGGGAAGGGTGTATGGGTGTGGTGTAAGAACATTGTGTGAAACATTTCACTGTTTCCACTCCTCACTGAATCAATATCATCTTCGGAGGTCAAATGGTTTTGGAGTTCATCAAAGATTCGAGAGAATGAGTGCATAGTAGTGTAAAACTATCACCGTTATGCTGGTCATAAACACTGTCAGCAATCTAAACTCTATCTGATCTAATTGCTGCCCGCAATCTAAACTCTGTCTGATTTAATTGCTGCCCACAGTCTAAAGTCTGTCTGATCTAAAATCTAATATTTGCATCTTTTATTCTCAGATTGCCACAGAGGAGGCCAGGGTATGTTATGATAGTCTTTTAGAGACAAGCTGGAGTGTGTGTATATGTAGATGCCTCTAGATTTAATTTCCCTTTTAGAAGTAGAAGAAAGAATGAAACTCCTGTTAAGAAGAGTATTTAGTGTGGAACCCTTCAGTCTAAATACTAGCTGTGGATTTGAACAGTGGTGTTCTCTTCCATGTTGAAGCTGGATGAGATAGTGGACCCTGAGGAGGAGGAAGAGGTGGAGGTGGGTGTGAGTGAAAGTCTCATTAATTCTAATTGTGTCTCCAAAAGATAAAGATGGCCACTTAAACCATTAGCAAAGGTCACGTTTCAGTTAGATGAAAATAATTCTCTGTGCTAATGGCTCATTTAGACATTATATTGTCTTTGTCATGATGTCAACTCTCTTTGCGTTTGTGGTTGGCAGGTGACTGCAGAGGAGGAGAAGGTCTCTGGGACGGGTTTAGTAAGAGCTTCAGATAAACTATATGGAGCCCCCCACTACTATTAGTTCTAGTTATGAAACATCTGTAGTTACAGTACCAGTCAAACGTTTGCATTAGTGATGCACTGATCCAGTACACTGGATTGGCATTGACACCATTACTGACCTCATTACACAGATCAAGTTTGATTAGGCATGACTGATCATTTAAGGTATACAGATTCTGAATTCAAAATATTGAATCGGTGCTCAAGAGTTAAAGTATCAGAATCTGTAGCAGTAGAGAGAAAATTGGTGATTGGTGTATTGCCAAAATGTTGTCTTTACTAGACGAGGAAAAGGTGTTGTGAACTTTTATCGCAAGTTAATATAAAGCTTTTATAGTAAGTGATTTTGAGACTTTTTTAGTGATCTAGTAATTGTGAAATGTTGACACAGTGTAAATGTTTCTAACAGAGAGGATTTGTATGTGATACATAGTAACTTCCATATAGGCCTGCATCTCATTGCTGTCATATCAAACTCTAGCTTTCTGAACACATACTGCCCTTTATATTGCAAAAAGAAAATATATATATGTTATATATATATATATATATAGTATATATATATATATATATATATATATAAAAGTATCATTTTCCCAAGTGCAAATTTGGAGGTTAGGTTTTGGGACAGACACTTCCCAGTAGAAAGTACCACATAAATGATGATATTGTGTATATTTAAATTGCTACTATCTTTATTAATGCTTTGGGTTTAAATAGATCAGAACATAATTCTCGTAAATATCTAAGTTTTAATACTTTATTATTTTTTAATAGTTAATAATATATTAAACTCCCCAGACAAAAAATGAGTCACCTTGCATGTTTAAGGTTTAAAGTTGTAACTTTAGGCTCCTGCAGATGGCAATGCACGAGGATGATCAGGCTACAAATACCTGGAGGGTGTGAGATGAGATTCATAGATTGAGAAAAGGTGGTACAGTGCCGTTAATGTCTCATTCAATGTGTGGAAAATTAGTTGCAAAGCAAATGTTTATGATTGGCAAAAGGAAGAAACTGAATTTGCATGTATATTGAAGCAAACGGTCATACGGGTCTACCAGCAGTTGCAAAAATCCCAGTCTACAGGAAATTCTCATCAGAATTGAGTCCAAAAGACGAAGCTGACGGACAGGGACCGCCAGCATGTTTCACGACTTGTGAATACAAATCGCTTCACTTCCGTGCAAGAATTACTTCTAGAAGTTATTGCAGGTCCTTCACAACCAATTTCTAAAAGAACACGCCGTAGGGAAGAGATTTTTTTTTTAAAGCTGTGAAAAGCTTATGAATCCTGTCGCACACCACACGGGTATTTATAGCCTGATCACCCTCGTGCAACACCATCTGCAGGAGCCTGAGGTTACAACCTTAAACCTTAAACACGCAAGGTGACAATTTTTTTGTCTGGGGACCTTAGCTATGAGCTAGCTATATATTATAATGTGTAGTCTATTTAATCAGTCATTTCTGATGATTGAGGAGAGTGTGTGTGTGTGCATGCGTGTGTGCATGCATGTGTGTGCATGCATGTGTGTGCCTGCATGTGTGTGTGTGTGTGTGTGTGTGTGTGTGTGTGTGTGTGTGTGTGTGTGCGCGTGTGTGTGCGCGTGTGTGCGCGTGTGTGTGTGTGTGTGTGTGTGTGCGCGTGTATCAGAGAGAGAAAGCTGCAGTTTAAGCTGTGTGTGAAGGTTGTGTTGGGGGCTGATTACAGTGGGATTAGTGAACTGGAGTGTGTGTCCACACTCTGGAGGCTGAGAGACACACACAGTGACGGGATTTCATATCAGCGGAGAACGCTCGCTTTCATTTCTCCTCCTGCTTTGTTTTTCATTAAAATGCTGGAAGAAATTTCAATAACTGGTTTATAAAGTGGAGAAATGTGACAGTGGCGGTGATCTCAAATGGCTGGGTGTCTTTGTCGCAAGTAATATTTTTATGATGGTTACAATTAATTATTTATGCAGAGTAATGAACAAATATGTGTTTATCCAGTACTGTGCAAAAGTTTAAGGCCCCTGAGAAAAATTAGAATTAAAAAGCTGTTTATCTGGGCAGTGAGCAATTATTTGCTCATAAACACACACTAATGTTAGAATAAACATGAATAACATTAAACATTAATACAGTAAATAGTAAACCCCAGTATTCTGTAGTTTTCATCCAGTGAAATGTGCTGCTGATGGAATTTAACAAATTCTTATGATCGATGAAGGTGTCCTGGAGAAATTTGGAACCAAACCTGTGTTTTTCTAATCAGCACACAACTGTATTTTATTTAAATAAAAATTTCTTGTTACTTTTTACTGTCTTTATGTTTATTTGCATTTATTGTAATGGTATATAGTGTTTCTGCACACGCTCACTGCTGAGATTTTAAACAGTTTGCCAAGGTGTCTAAGACTTCTGCACAGTACTGTGTCTATTGAAAAATAGGTTCCTGTTAACTTATCATTCGTGGCCTTTCTTTTCTTCCTTTCTGTAGCATGACAGCCGTGCTATTAAGGTGGGTGTGATGTTAACAGCAGATATGCATCCATGTGTATACATGTATGCATACAACTATAGAACTGGTAATTCTCTATATATTTAGAAAGGAAAGAAACACACCTGTTGAAACTGTGGGGACACCAGCTTTGTTTTTAATACGAATATGCCGACATTCTTTGTCAGCTTGCACCATATTAACCATATTAAAGGCTCAATAGCACTTAAACCTTTCAGATGTTTAAACCACCATTGGGCCAAAAGAGTTCTAGTCTAGAGTCTAGTATCAGCTTTTAACAATAGATGAATAGTTTGGAAAGAAACTGTCATTATTGAGGCAAAACAAGGCCATCTGTTGAAGCTAAATCCTCCTGAAGGATTAGCGCATAGAGTTTGAAAAAATTTCCTTGTAAGTTGGTATGTTTGATGTAAACAGAGTGATTCAGGGTGGTTTGGTGTGAAATGGTTCAGATTTCTTTCCAGTGGTGGTGATAGGAACCAGGGGTTGCCATGACTACAACACAAATATAGCCATTTTATATACTATGCAAAACCACCAGTGAACCTACATGTGTCTTCTGAGTGTTTATATATAATGTTGATGATGGTAAAGTAATGGTTTTCATTGGGGGCTATTTTGGTATACAAAAGCCTGCATGTACCCCTCCACTATTATAGTGTTTTAAAAATATTTTCTAGTAAAACATGGTCATAAATATTGTCTCATGCATCAAGCAGGGTATTCATGACCATTTCATATTCTAACCTTCTGTAAGAGCTTTCAAGAGCCATTAAACTCTCCAGACGTATGGTTCCCATCACCACCTCTGTGAACAATTTTCTAGAATTGAGCATTTTACCTCAAACCACTCTGAATGTCTTTGTTTAGATCTTAACGGATACAGAAATTTTGAAAAATTGATGGACTTCCCCTTTAAGTGAAAATTAACGGAGAGAAAATGTATATATTAAATTAAGGAAAGCGGTTATTAAACTTTAGCTGGGCAGTAAATTTATACCTTCAGATTTAGGTTGAAATTTGAGATTAGGTCATGAAACATGAGCGAGTAGTCTACTGTCTTCACTCTGCCCTCTGCTGGAAAAATACATGGTCTGATTTCTCTTCAGTATCAAATAATGGAAGCAGACAGAATGGAGTTCTAGTGCTTTTCCCTGAGCAGCATGTGTAGAGTGCTCTCTAGTGGCAGGCTGACAGAACTGTGTTTTCTGTCTCCACCCTCCATCTCTCAGCTCTGTGACAGTGGGGATGAGGAGGAGGAAGGGGAGGAGCTGGCTAAGGTTTGTTTTTTGGCACAGAGTAGATTGATATTTTCCTCAAGTTGTCATGATTTCATGATTTTAGTTCCATCTCCCCATTCTCCCACACTAAGAGCCATACTTACACGCACACAAACACCATCCTGGTCCCGCTGCCACAGTGCGTCTTGTCTGAACTGTACTTGGTCTCTGTTGTATGACAAGCAGCATCAATTTAATCCTGGTGTGTTTTGTTGATTAAAACAATAGTTTGGTAAAAAAAAAAAATCAGGA